ATCTGATAAGAACCTACTGTGCAGAATATGTAAAGAAACCGTACTACTTGATAGCAAAAAGACAAATCTTAAAATAGCCAAAGGATTTGAATAGGCATTTCTCAAAAAAATACACAAAGGGCTTAGAAGCACCTGAAATTCTGTATGGCATCATTCATTAAGGAAATACAAATCAAATCCACAATGAGATACCATTCCACATATACTAAGATGGCTAGGACGTAATAACAGCAAACCCTGGAAAAATGATGTGTTAAGCCAGGTGTGGTGGCTCATGCCTGTAAATCCCAGCTCTTAGGAAGCAGAAATAGAAGGATTGTCACAAATTCAAGGCTAACCTGGGCTACATATATTGTGAGTTCTAGGCTAGCCTGGGATATAGAGAAAGACCCCCCATCTCAAGAAAAGAGAGAGAGGAGGAGGAGGAGAAGGTAAGAAAAAAGGAAAGGAAACAACAGGAAAAGGAAAAAGAAATGAAGGAGGTGTGATTCAATGAGAATCATTCACAAATATTACATTCCAGGGAAGGCCTTGGTTACACACCAGTGTTTTCAATAATGTCCAGGTAACAAGAAAGACAAACAGATTCTTACTTAACCTATGCTGATAATTACGTTGCAGTGAAAATAAAGAATACTTGGGCTGGGGGCAATACAGCTCAATGGTACAGAGCATGCTCTGAGTTTTATCCCCAGAACTGCAAACAAAAAGGAAGAGAAAGGGGCTGGAGAGATGGCTCAGCAGTTAAGAGCACTGGCTGCTCTTGCAGAGGACCCAGGGTTCAGTCCCCAGCACCCATATGGCTGCTAACAACCGTCTGTACCTTCAATTCCAGGGGATCCATGCCCTCTTCTGACCTCCACAGGCATTGCAGGACACAGGTGCTCTTACATCCATTCAGGCAATACACTCATACACATAAAATATTTCTTAAAAGAGGAGAAAGAGGAGAAAATATGCGATGAAAGAGAAATAAGTTTCTTATATATCCAGAAAATAAGATATTAAGGCATAAGTAGCATTCCAAACAAAACTTAGAATCATCCCTCATCAGCTCCTTCAGGTCTATGCAATTCTTATGCCAGGCTTGAGTTAAGAGTATTATTAACTCGCCTACTTCTCAATTAGTTTTCAAAATTCTGACTTAAGTCACTATTTACTAGTGTGAATTCAAACTGAGCTAAATTTTTCCCATCAGGAATAGGTGTTGCCCAGTGCCTAAATGCTTGCCAAGCATATGTGAAGGCCCTGGGTTCTATCCGTAGCACTGCAAAACTGGTAGACAAGGGCAGGGGCTATAGCTCAGTGATAGGGCACTTGTCTAGCATACATGAGACCACTGGTCCAATTCCCAGTACCACATGAAAAAAGAAAGGAAGCTATCCCATCAGAAGCTTATACACAAAAGTACCTAGCATAGTTCTTCCCTATGAGGCTCTCAGAGGGTCCTTTGTTGAGTTGGAAGCCCTCTAGTTTATAGCTGATGGCAGGTGCTTTCATGGAAGCATTGAAGTAAAACATTAAAAGCAATCTGTAGATGACAAAAAAAACTTACAATAGCTGTGGTTACCTTATTACTGCTCATTTTCAAAAGGAGAAAATCTGATGAGAGTTCATTACAAGAATAATAATGCAACTGACAAGGAAATGTCGTTGTTTCTGTAGCATGCAAAACAAGATAAAAGCCAATCCAGAAATTGTCAACCAAATATTTGTAAACATAATGATTAAACTCTATTTTCAAAGAAGACAGGGTATTGTGTCTAATTTATAAAAATGTATGAACATAATCTTTATAGAGAAAAAGACTCAGAAATAGCATATAAGAATCTAAATCCAATATATCAAGCATATAGTTAGAATATATGTAGAATATATCATAGAAAGGACAGAGAAACTGAGTAATCTAAAAAACATCTTAAACATTAGTATATTAATAAAGTTCCATAGGTAAATTATGGGAATCTTCAGTTGAAAACTAATGACTGGAAGGATCTTAGATTCAAAATCAAGAAGCACAATTAAGATAAACTAACATTTAACAAAAAATATGAAATTTTAAGTGAAAACACTGTACAGTAGGCCCCATCCATGGTTTTACATTTCCCAGTTTCAGTTCCCTGTGATCAACCATGATCCTTCCAGGACATTAATATATTTGGAGAGAGAACAGACCATATTTGTATAACTTTCATTGCCCCATTTATAATTTAGAATTTATCACAGCTATATATGTGTATATATGTGTATATATGTATGTATATATAATATATATTCCATCTATATGGGAAAAACAGTATATAAAAGGTTTGGTATTCTCCAGGGATTCAGGCACCTGCTAGGGGTCTTGGAATGTAGTCCTCACTCATCTGTGATTGTCTAACATTTGACAAAGCATCAGCTGGACTCTGACAAACAGAAACACATCACGGCCAGTGGGGACATGGATAAGTCTGCAGGACCTTCTCATACAGCATACAATTTCTAAAATGTTTATATTAGTAACATTTTCCCAATTTAACCTAGGAGAAGCAAATCACCACTTCTGAATTGACAACTCTACCTATATTGCAAATGCTGCAATAATAACATACCACACAATCTAATGGTTGTAGGTGCCTCTCTTTTCACAAGGTGAAAGAAGAAATCCTTTGTTGTTTTCTGTGGGCCCTCTGAGACTTCATTAAGATAGTGTAATGAGTTACTGAAAATGATGCTTGGCTCTCTATTCTACAAAAGTGACAATAAGATATTTTCAATATAAACATAGGAAGTAAACTGACTTAAAGACCTTTGCTCTTTCCTAAGTGAGAAGACATTGCTTTCTTAAGTAATCGAGGACATAGTAAATCAACATAAAGCCAGAGAAGACGGCTGGGGTGTAATCCAGTGGAAAAGCACGTGCTTGCCACATGTGAGGACCAGATTCAACTCACACTGGAAGTAAAATCAGGAAAGTATAGATAGTTCTAGAAAGACACAGAATCTTTGTTATCTAGAAAGATTTTCCAGAATTTATAACAAACCATTTCCAGCTTGTTATTAGGAAAATACCAAGAATGTAAAACTTTGGGCTTTTTCACAGAGAAATAACAAAAGTCTAGTTTTTCATCAATATATTTGAAATTAAAGTTCTTCTTGGAATCTCATAAATGAATAACACATCAAACCTTAGCCCCTTTGACCTAGCCAAATAAAATTCACTTTCTGTGAACCCTCTACAGTTTTTTATATCTGCACATATCCTTTATAGTCTCTCTCTCCCTCCGTCCCTCCCTCCCTCCCTCCCCCCCTCAATGGCAAAAGAACTTCCATTAATATACAAAAACAAGCAGAGCACTTTGGAAGTCTTAAAAGTTCAGTTTCTTTATTTTGTGGGAATTTTAGCAGTTTTATCTAAATACCTATTTATTTATATAAGTCAATGAGAATAGAACTCCCTTAATCTGAGATTATTTGTTGCCAGTACTGGGAATCAAACCCAGAGCCTTGCACATGGTAGGCATTGCTCTACCACTGAGCGCCATCCCTAGTCCTTGGTTTTATGAGGCAGGGTCTTACTGTGTAGCCCAAGCTTGCCTCGAACCTATGGGTCATCCTAGCTCTGCCTCTTGAGTGCTGGGATTACATGTGTGTGCCAACAAGTCCAGCTTTAAGAGATTTTTAAAAGTCAAATCCTATGCAGAGGTAGGAAAATACTACACATTTGCACAGAAAATAAAGAATTTTCAGGATTATAGACATTATGGCCATCATTACTCACAACAAATGTGAGCTTTTCATACATGGAAAATAGCATTCACATCTAAGAACTTTGAAAGCCACATATTTAATTCTCATTTACATAGACTTCACGGATAGACTCATTCCTTTCTCTCCTTGGTTTCTTTCCTGCTGCATACGTAAGGGCAAGCTATTCTTTGGCTAGAATGATTGCTGGGTTCCCATCAGTGAAGCTCAGGCAGTATCCCAAGATGGGTTTTTTTTATCAACTTCTTGCTCACCATTGTACCTCTCATCAATTCAGCCTGTGAACCAGGGCATTGTTTAGAACGTGAAATATTATTGTAGAGAGATTTTATGAGGAAGCTTATTCATTATGTAGGCACTAGAGAGATTTCTCATAGTAGCAATGATGCCATTTCAAATGTTCATGCCTAGAATTTGGTTTCAAATAAAATCTCGGGGCAAACAAAAAAAAATGGGCTGGATAGTTGAAGTAACTATAGAAGCAAAAGAAACTGCAGCATTTGGGATGAGGCTTTAAAATGAATTATAAGTTATAATACACTATTGATAAATAATGTTCTCTTATATCTAATCAGTAAGGCTTACTAGAAGTATGATAAAAGAGCAGGTGAATGTTGATAAGAGGGTAAAATGACGCAATAGCATCAATAGCAATAAAGTTAAAGGACAGCAGTGAAATCAGTGACAATGGTTTTTGTGAGGCAAAATACCGTTAGCAAAAGCTTCTTCACTCTTCATTGTAATAATTACATTCACAAAAAGGCAATCACATTAATCTGCCTAAGAAGTTCTGCGTTTGTATGTTCTAGACTCAGGTTTTATGAGCAACAAGTGCCAAATTTGTAGGTTATGTCATAGAGTCTGCACAAAGAATTCAATCTCCATCTTCTATAACATTGTCTGTAAGGCTCTTTCTAGATTCTAGACACCAGGAAACTACAAGTTTCTTTAAGTGATCCCTAAATCATCAGAAAAAGGTTCCGTCTCATTAAATAATTATAATAGACTAATGCTTTGAAAAGCTGGGATCCTGTGTGGAAAATTTTACCAATTGACTGTATGTCTCCTTTACCACTTCATTCTCTGATCATTCTGGGCTATTTACAATATAATTCTTGTAGGTGAATTTTTGTTTTTCTTAAAAGAGGGAGTACTTTATGGGACTAGACCTCAGTGGTTAGATGTTTGGCTGTAAAGACTCCCTTGGACCATTTTTTGGCTGTTGACTGTAGTAACTTGTTTTCTTACAGAGATGAAGCATCTGGTTTTTGTTATCTCAATGATGCTGTCCTGGGAATATTACGATTGCGACGGAAATTTGACCGTATTCTCTATGTGGATTTGGATCTGCACCATGGAGATGGTAAGCCCTTCAGTATTAAAGATGCTTTACTGCTAGTACAGCAGGTTTTGATCAGCAAAGATCCTTCTAGGCAACTAGTAAAAGGAGAAATGCCTGATGCAATTGACATTTTTCCTAATAGTGATTTCTAAAGTAGGTGGTGCATAGACTCCTCTGATGCAATTCCTCTTTGCTACCCAAGCTAGGCAGGTTCCTGTCATTTCCTCTTCCCCTGACCTCCTGAATCAAAACTTTACAGTAGAGAATGAAAAGAAGAGGAAGCCTGGGCTGGAGAGATGGCTCAGCAGTTAAAAGCACTGGTTGCTCTTACAAAGGACCAATTCCCAGCACCCACATGGCAGCTAATGGCTGTTGGTAACTCCAGTTCCAGGGGAATCCAACTCCTTCTTCTGACCTCCGTGGGCATTGCACAACATAAGTGCACTTACACACATTCAGGCAATACACTCATATACATAAAGTAAAAATATTTTTTTAAAAAAGAAGGGGAAGCCTTACTTAACACTTACACCAGTGTCCAGGACCCTCTTTCAGGCATTTTCCATGGCTTTTAGGGGAAATCTGTGGTTAGAACTGATGGTCTTATCATCAGTGTTCCCTCAAGATCAAATGGCTATTTGAAGGACAAAGTTCTGAATTTTTCACCAATAGACTACCAATTCATGTAGTGATCACTTCCTTTGTGTTACTAAACTATATAGTCTTGGGATAGGAGTACAGCTCAGTGGTAGAGTTCTTGCCTATCACTCACAAGGCTCTAGGTTCTATCCTTAGCACAGAAAATAAACATACCCTATATACTCAAACACAAGCCTAGGGCATCTTCCCTAACTTGTAATAGCAGAATCCAATTTGCCTTAATTTCTTTATCCCCCTTGAAAACCTTCACTCTCAACTGTGTATGCTCCTCTAGACTGCAGAACTCCAGAACAGTGGCTACATTGTGTTTCTTTAAGAAATACTGTCCATGACACAAAGCATTTCTCTTCATCTATGAAAATGTGTCTAATAAATTACTAAAGACAGCCCTCTTCCTACCCTACATTAATGACTGCTGCTTCCTTGTTTATAGAAATTTTGTCTTTTGAGATAGACTAACATAATAAAGATGTTAAGGGAGGAAAACAATAGCATGTGTGTGATGTTAGTGTTAGCTCTGCTGCCCAAACAGAAAAAGGAGGAAATGTCACAGAGGGAGCCTTCTCAAGGAGCTTCACCTGCATGGATGCTGGAAACAGAGAATTAAAGATAACAAAGAGAAAAGGGCTAAAACAACCATTGTACAGCACCAAGAACCACGTTCTCTGAATTTCTGACTACTTACCACTGTGGGACAGTCATACTCCAAAATATTCAGAGCCTCCTTATGACCCATAAAAAGGGGCAACATGTGACTATGGCTTATTTTTATATAAACAGTGAGCTAAGAATAGGTTTTCATTTTTATAAGGTTATAAAAGTACATACAAATATATGTATGTGTGTATGCAAATATGTGTACAATAGAGAGCATAAGTAGTTTAGGAAGCCTAGAATGTTTACTATCTAGCCTTGTAGTTTGCTGGCCCCTGGCCTAGAGCAATGGTTCTCAAACACAATAGTGCAGCTAGATGAGGTGTGGAAATTTGTTTTAAAATGCAGATCATGGGGCTGGGGAGATGGCTCAGCAGTTAAGAGCACTGACTGCTCTTGCAGAGGACCTGGGTTCGACTCCCAGCACCTGCATGGCAGCTAACAACCATCCATAACTCTAGTTCCAGGGTAATTTGATGCCCTCTTCTGAGCTCCATGGGCATTGCACAACACAGCTGCACTTACACACATGCAGGCAATACACTCATACACATAAAATAAAAATAAAAATATTTAAATTGCAGATCACTATGCTACAGCTATCAGATATTCAAACTAAGTACATGATTTATACAGTGTACACTGTAACAGCACCTCAGTTATTCTACAGACCATCCCTTGAAAACCATGGTCATCATGAAAAAGTAGGTAGTCTTTTCCTCATCTTTCAAGGCTTACCTCAAATATGCTTCTCCTCATCTTTATAGCTTTGTCTCTCACTACTTCTCTATTCAGTGAGTATGGCTTCCTGTTCTTGGCATGTCTCACTAATCCCACCTCTCTGACTTTGCTTCCCCTTTTCCTTAGTTATGCCCTCTCCTCCCTCTTTGCAGTTCTAAGGTCTACCCATTCATTCAAGTTCAAACAGAAGTAAAGGGCTGGAGAGCTGGCTCAGTGGTTAAGAGCACTGGCTGCTCTTGTAGAGGACCCAGGTTCAGTTCCAACATGCCAGCTAAAAACTGTCTGTAACTCCTGTTCCAGGGGATCTGACACCTTCTTCTAGCCTCCACAGGCATTGAACATATAGGTACATGTACATACATGCAGTCAAAACACTCATACACATAAAATAAAAATAAATCAGACAGTAGTGGATTGCCCTAACCACTGTAGCCAAAGGATATTCTTCTGCCTCTAAAGCCCTGTATTGTGTATATCACTAATCAATATTTTATAATGTGTTGCTTTGTGTTGTTCATTTAAAAATGTGTCTATATCTTTTCTTCCCACAGAAACTTTACGTTCTTCCAGAGCAGAAATCAAGTTGATTACTTCTTTCTGTCAGTACTGTACATATAGTAGCGTTTCAGTAAAACATTTGTAGTATGAGTGAATGCCTATGACTTTCAGAGTATTAATGCCAGAGTTCAAAAATAGAACCAGCTCTGCTAAACCACATAGGAATGAAATAAGACTGCCACCTGAAACTGTTCTTTCCCTTTGCAGTGTTATTTCTACACCATTTAGAGTTTCCTGTTTCAGCCAACTTTTATGGTGTGTTTCATTTCACTTTATTTCTCCTCTTCAGCACCTCCCTTCCAGTGACCTCTGCCCCACCCCCAAACTCTTACACATTTGGTTTATTTTAAGTCTCTCATGATTCCACCACTAGCATCCTGTGGTGGCTTCGCCAGCCACTCCTACCCGTCCTCACCTTTCATCTACCTAAACTCTATTTTCTTTCATACCAACTCCATATACTCTGCCTCTCTATGTCCTTTTCAAGTATGTTTTGTATAACCATGCCTAATAGTATTTCCCATGACACAAGATACAAATGGCCACTGAACATATGAAAAGGTGCTCAATACCCTAATGCTCAGAGAAATGCAAATTAGAACCATTCTTTCTGCCTAAGATTAAAAGGAATGACAACAGCAGCCAGTGCCAGTCAACACAGAAGGAAACAGAAACTTGCATACAGAATTGGAGGAAGTATAAATTGGTCCATTTCTGGATGGATAAATCATTAAGAGTTTCAGGAAATGTCCTTGTTTAATAATACTTCTACTTCTAAGTTGAAATGGTATTTTTGTTTATTTTGTTTTGTTTTATTTTGTTTACTTAATACTTCTGCCTGGAGCCTTTAACTGATTTTAACTACCTCCCTAGGGCAAAACATAAGGCTTGGGAAATTCAAACATACTGTTATACACAAATAGAGTTCATATTTTTTTAAGGTCTCTGTTAGCCTCTAATAAAGATTGAATATATTTAAGTCAACACTGAGACAATATCTTTGTTTGAAATATGAAAGAGCATGGTACCTGGATTTGCTAATAAGTCCTTCCATTTTACAGAGTGACTGAGTATGACTGTGTGTGATCTGAGAGGAAAAGAGTAGAAGTAGGCAGTCTGGCAAGCACATAAGTAGTGGCTTTTGAGGGTTACTTTAAAGCCCAGCTTTTATCTCCCAGGCATCTAGTCATTTTCTGACTAAGTGGAAAGGAGACTTCTGTCTCCCCCCAATCTTCCTCCAGGTTTTAAAGCTCTGTTTTAAAGCTGTTATTAACAACTGAAGGTGCCCCTACTGTGGGCACACACCAAACCAGTTTGAAGTTTGGGGAATAGCAAGCTCCTTTAAAGTTTTACTATTATCCTGGATTTAAAGAATTTAATTGTATTTCTCTCACTTCCTTTAAGCATTTGTAAAAGAAAAAAATTTATGTGTTTGTATGTATGTATAAAATAAATACATACATAAATACATAAATAAATGCAATCCTCCTAAAATGGATAGGTGCTGTTAAGGAATATGGCATGACTATTTTCAGCCTTCTGTGTTTTCAGCAGAAAGACGTAATGCATGGGACTTCAATTACCTACATTTATAACCAAATTTGCATTATAGTCACCTCATTATTAAGTTTTCACTATATAAAACCTAATTATTGATTGTGTTGCCTATATTTTTAAGGGATTATCATATTATAGTTCTGTGAAAACAAAACCCAAGAATTTAAGTAGAAACACTTAAAATATACCATGAACTTTCCAGGTTGGTGCCAGTTTCCTCTGCTCAGTTGCTGATAGCGCCTCACTTTTGGCCTCTTACTCCCCTACCTTTTATAACAGAAGTCAGGGGAAACCTGGGCATCCCAATGCTTGGAAGAGACAGGTTCAGTTGTAGCTTGCTATGAATTTGAAAAGGTACCCCAAAGTTCACTTGGGGCTAAAGTTCTACCTCATCTGTAATTACAGAGATCAGAAATCAGCAGTCTGTGTTCTTTTATTTCTCAGCTTGTTAGTTCTATTATAGCTGCCGTCTCCTCTCACCTTCTTCCCACGGCTACTTGCTAGGTTTTCAAGTGTTAAAAACAGGAGTTGCATATATGAAGTGATCCTTCTGACATTTCTATCTGGTAGGTGTAGAAGATGCCTTCAGTTTCACATCCAAAGTCATGACCGTGTCCCTGCACAAATTCTCCCCAGGATTTTTCCCAGGTAAGTAAAATGCATGCTCTCTATATATTTCATGAGTAGATTCTAGAATTCTTTTATACTTTGCTTATGTCTTATTTTTAAATAGTTTCACATTGTTGAAATCTTATTTGTGCTACTCTATGCAAAATATTAACGCAGGTCACTTCAAGTGACAATCATAAAAGGAATGACAGCGAACACAGTTTTTAATTTCAGATGATTTTTTATGTTCTGTCAACAGGCAGATCACTTACTATTTTATCAGATACCACATGCAATTATTTTTTATATATATTTTTTAATATTTTATCTATTTTATGTGTATGAGTGTATTGCCTGCATGTATGTAAGTGCACCCATGTCATGCAATGCCTGTGGAGGTCAGAAGAAGGCGTTGTATCCCCTGGAACTGGAGTTACAGATGATTGTTAGTCGCCATGTGGGTGCTGGGACCAAATTCAGGTCCTCTGCAAGAGCAGCCAGTGCTCTTAACTGCTGAGCCATTTCTCCAGCCCTTTATTTATTCTTTTTATTTTATGACTGTATTGCCTGCATATCTGCAAATGCACCCACGTTGTGCATACCCACTGAGGTAAGAAGAGGGCGTTGGGTCCCCTGGAACTGGAGTTACAGATGATTGTTAGCTGCCATGTGGCTGCTAGGAATTGAATTCGGGTCTTCTGCAAGAGCAGCCAGTGCTCTTAACCGCTGAGCCATCTCTCCAGCCCCGCCACATGTAATTCTTAACATTCTGGTAATTACAGATTATCTATTTTTTTAGTTCATCCAGTAAGGTGTAAACTAAGGTTTTTCTTTTTCCTTATAGTTTTCCTGCTTCCCTAGCATTGTTCGTAATTATTATTTCTCTAGGGTTTTTTTGTTTGGTTGTTTTGTTTTTTTTGTTTTTTTATTTTTTATTTTTTGCAATTTCATCCCCTTAGGAACCACCATGAATTTAGAATCGTTCTCCTAATGGACCATTTTGCTTTTTTGAATTGCTCCCAGATAATCCTTTGCATTTCCCAGTTCTTGTGTTCATAATAACTGATCATAGTTCTCCTCTTTTATAGGAACAGGTGACTTGTCTGATGTTGGCCTAGGGAAAGGACGGTACTACAGTGTAAATGTGCCCATTCAAGATGGCATACAGGATGAGAAGTATTATCACATCTGTGAAAGGTATGGCAGTAACACTGAGCTAGTAACAAGTAGATAGCCTCTCTGTAGGATACAGTGGTCCTCAATCTCGGAATTCTTGCTTTCAAGGAACAATTTGAAAATGAAAACTATTGTATGCTCACATGCATACAGTAGACACTGCTTATTATGTTCATGTGATCAGGTAGTCATCCCCTGTTGGAGTGAGCCAAGCAGTTGGGCAGATTCACACTTTGGCCTTACCTGCTATCCATTATGATTAAGACTATCCCCAAATAAAAGCTTTTAGGCTGTCCTGGGAAATCCTTTCACTGGTACTTTCTTGCATGTGTGTGGTTTCATTAGCCTGACAAAGTATGTTTCAGTTTCCCCTTATGGAGACCTGTGCTTCCTTCTGCTGCTGTGAATGTTAAGAGTTGATTCATTCTTGAGGTCTATACACACTATTAAAGTTGTAATAAGAAAGTGGGGGGGGGTATGTTTTCTGTGCTGGAGATAGAACCCAGGGCCTTATATACACTAAGCACATGTTTTACCACTAAGCAACACCTCTAGCCCCCAAATATTTTTTTAGCCTAGAGTTAAAAATAAAATTATAGGGGCTGGAGCGATAGTTCAGGGGTTAAGAGTACTGGCTACTCTTGCAGAGGACCCAGGTTCGGTTCCCAGCCCCCACATGACGTTCTAAGAGCCTTCTGTAACTCCAGTTCCAAGGTATCCAATGTTCTCTTCTGGCTTCCACAGGTTTGCACGCATGCAGTGCACTTACAGATATGCAGACAAAACACTCATACACATAAAATAAAGTTTAAAAAAAATAAAATTATAAACCATTTATATATAGGCAGGCTGTTTTGTAGATCATTGGAGTTAAAAGTCCTACAGGATGGGGGGAGGTTAAACTCATATTCATAAAAGTTGAGATTGGTCACGTATAAATTCACTGCCTACAATGGCAATAGAGAAAGTGAGCCTGAGTAGAAATCTACCAGTCAAGCTTGCTAAAGGTAAGCAGTACAGATGGAGACACTTGTAATCCCTCCCACAACCCAGCTCACATTTCTCCCAACCTCTGGTAGAAAACGGGGAATTCCCAATTGAGCCAGCCTGCACTGGCCACCGTCATGGGCAGTTGTATAAACAAAGAACTATTAAAAATAAAAAGTTTGTGCTTCAAAGGTGCCTCTTAGCTCAAGAGATGTGTTGAGCCAAGTAATCCTGCAGTCATTCAGCTATACTAGTCTCTTCGTGATTTTCATCATATCCCTTGGATACCTCTGTATTATCAGCTTGAAAAAAAATTGAGCCTACCACTGATGGTTTAATTGCCCTTCTTTGTTCCCCTTAGGCTCTGTTCTGTCCTTAAGATGTGCTTATGTAACATTAACAATGACGATGTCCTGTGGTTCTCTGTAAAAGGAAAATTATTTTGTTTGTCTTTTAATCTCCTTCTTGACAGTGCCCAACAATTTGTTGCCCTTTTTTAAACCATAGGAGGAAATTAAGTTGTCCTTTTCAGGGGACTGTCCATAGGGCTTCTTAGGGCTTTTTCCTGGGTCTCACCAACCTACAAGTATAGTTTGAAAAATCTGGCCATCTCTAAGTGGATCACCTTACATACTCCCCTATTGAAGCTCATCTGCAAATCAGAAAACCTCCTGAGATTTTCCTTTATCTCCCATCAGTTTGGCATTTCACTGCCTGGGAAAGCCGAATATTATCTGCAGACTTGAGGGTTCTCAGCACCTACCCCTACACACACCTGAAGGAAGTCTACTATTTATCCTTCTTCAGTCATAAAGATGTCTGTTTCTCCCTTATTTTTTTGTATATACCAATTCCTGATACATGATAAAAAAATTAATCCCATGGTAATTCATGTTTAAAAACAGACTTAGTAGCAACTTAATTAGAAGTATTTTAAAAGTAAATTTAACCCTAAGGAAAAGATCTGTTAAAGGTTATATATGATTTTCCTTTACAGAAACCATTCTTTCATATGCATCCTGGTAGACTGATGTCTTTTGTGTAGGAGAAGCTAGAATTTATTAAAGATTCTTCCAGCTTGCCTACTAAAGAACCAGACACTCATCAGTTTGTAGATCCCAGTGTGCCTGTTGAGCCACATGGGCAGTGTACATAGTGATTCATCCAGAATAACAGGCTTCAAGTTTTCATAAGAGCTTCGTTACTTTTTTTCCTTTTCTTCAGAAGTCAAATCTGTTGAGGGCACCATGTGACGGCATCTCTCATTCCAGGGGTTCCAGGAAGGCTTCTTATGCAAAATATTCCTTTAACAGGAAGAAGACTTCTTTATACAATAAAAATGGGCCCCCCACTGGGTGTGGTGGTGCATACCTTTAGTCCCAGCACCTGGGAGGCAGAGGCAGGTGGACCTCTGTGAGTTCCAGGCCAGCTGGGACTATAGGGAGACCCTGTCTCAAAAAAATTAAATAAATAAATAAATAAATAGGCCCCCCCAATGAGCTTTTGGCACAATCTCTCCTCTTCAACTCCACTTGGCAATAGGTATTTTAGTTGGATGGACAGGAAAATTGGAAAGGGTTGAAGTGTGAGTTCTCTGGGTATATAGAGCTAGAGTCCAGTAGCAGGGCACAGGTGGTGTGGCACAAAGAAGACAAAACAATCTTTGTCATCTAAACAGCCTTGCATAGTTTTATGGGTCCTAGTGTGTCTCTCAGTCCCAATAATTGTCCTTTGAGTACTTCTGTCAACTGTGGTTTAGAACTAATGTCTTATACTTTGCCATTATTATCTCTGACCCATCTGCCTACTTCAAAAAAATTAGACATAGGAATGAGTGAGTCTTTTGTAAAAGTCATTCAACATGTCTACTGTTTCCTTTTCATCTGCTTTGTTCCTTGATCCAATGATTCTCTGGCTTACTCCTAACTAGTGAGATAAAATCTAATGATTCTCTGACTCACTCCTGACTAGCTGTTTCACATGTATGATGCTTCAATTTTAGGTTGTTTCCCAATTTGTAGTTTGCTCCTGAGCCATTTCTCCCTGTGGGATTCACTTTCCTTCCTTCCTTCTTTCCTTTTCTTCCCTCCTTCTTTCATTCTACCTCTCTTTCTTCCTTTCCTTTGTAAGCAAGATGGCTTTTTTCTTCCTTGTAACCTTTTGCACTTTGCTAGCGAAGTAGGCAGCAACTTAATAGTTTTATCTTAACATTGAACACCGCCTGGTGGCTAACAACTTCAGTTCCAGAGGATCCAATGCCCTCTTCTGGCCTCTGTGGGCACAGAATGACACCAGTGCACTTACACACATGCAAGTATAACATTCATACACATAAAATATAAACAAATCTAAAGACTTAAAAAATATTAGCTTTGGGGCTGGAGAGATGGCTCAGCGGATAAGAACACTGGTTGTTCTTGCACAAGACCCGGGTCGAATCCCAGCACCCACATGGCAGCTCACAACTATCCGTAACTCCAGTTCCAAGGGATCTGACAGTCTCTTCTGTCCTCTGCAGGCATTGCAAGACACGGGTGCACTTACATACATGCAGGCACTACACACATACACATAAAATAAAAATAATAAATAAAATATTAAAAAATATTAGCTTAGTGTTTCTTCTTGTAATAGACTGGATATAGAAGTATTACATAAATATTTTCTAATACCATCAAAAGGTCATAGGTTCCATTTTATGGAAATGACAATTTCATGCTTAGCTCTAACTAGGTCATTCAATATTAAAGGCAGTAGTCAGTGATTTCCACAAGCTTCCTGTAACTTCTGTGGAAGCTAGTACAGTTGGTATTTGCAAGTAGAGACCTTTATCAACTAACATAAAGGAATATTAGCATTACTATTGTAAGCACATCTCCTCCTTCAAATGAAAGCTTGGGGCTCCAGGATAGAGATAGTAAAGGTATATTATTATATTGGTTTATATTAAAAATCCCACCAAACTCACCCCAACCCTATCCAGAACCACCCCCCCACACACACACATACACATATACACCATACTCACAAAGTTTGAAGGAAAGGGAGACTAAGTATTGTCATCCAAAAGAGAAAATAGGACTGGGGGTGTGGCGCCATGGTAGAGCACTTACTTAGCATGCATGAGACCCTGGTAAATATATATGTGCATTTATACATCCATACGTACCTTAGGAAGTACTGCTGTGCCAGTGTTTAACCTGTTTGCGCTCTTACTGCACATGAACATACTGTGAGATTGTTGTGATAATGTTTCACATTAATGTTATCACATTATCAATGTTCACTATTGCCTAAAATGCTATGTTGATGGCTTTGGGTACAGTCACAGTTAGGGATTGTAAGAGAGAAGGACAACAAGTGCTTCTTTGCTGTTAGTTCAAGACAGGTTTTAACAAATAGTATGGCACCCTGCTGAAACCTTGAATCTCAAAGGATGACCTACTTGCCTACTGTGAACTGCTATGACATGTGCATGGACAAATCCAAAGTTGTGCTAATCTTTCTTCATTTGTATCCTATTATTAGTTCTGTATCCTAATATTAGTTGTGCTAATATTTCTTCATTTGTTATCCATTTTGCAGGCCTAAAAACCAGCAATTATTCTTTACTAGATATTGTTAGTGTTTGTCTTTTTTTGGATTTTAAATTTTATTGCATTTTCATATAATGTGATGATATATTTAGACCCCTCCCCTATTTGCACACCCCATTTGCTCCACACTCAATTCAGTGTACTATACTATAAATACAAAATGGCCTAAATAGTCTAATTTGTGTACCCATATGTCCCTCAGTGTGACTCCATCCACTGGTCAAACTACCATCTCTGTAAGAGACTGTTGCTTCCCTTCCCAGCAGTCATCAGTTGCCAAAAGTTCTTTAGGTTGGGTTGGAATTTCTTACCCACTTTGCCATGTATATGCTGGTATTTTGTCTGGTTTGAACTTACTGTCACCATTGCTGTGAGTTCATATGTGTAACTAACCACCTGTCTTGGAAAACTGTTTCTTTGTGGCCATCCAACCCCTTT